TTTGCCTTGCTTTGTCTCTTTACTATTCTTCATTTTGTTTTTCTTACAGCCCACTTTAAACTTTTTGGTATTCAGTAAGCAAGCCTCCATGGTGTACTAGTTTCATTGTACTTTCTTCACTGTCCTTCAGATATTCTTCCAACATTCCCCACCCACCCAACATCTTCCTATCCAGGGTTTTTAGTTCTGCTTGAATTCAGTCCACTATTCCAGCTATGTATCTCATGATTGCAATTGCCCAGATGTTAATTGTGTTGACGGTACACCATCCTCTGAGTTTGGATCTTCATTTTCATTATGTATTCATTATTAACCTTCTTGAGTTTGGTGTGCTTGATGTTGATTTTTGATTGGTAGCATCCCAGAGCTTGTTAAAAGATGGGAAACGATCTAAATGTTTCAAATCAGCGGACTCCAAACTTGGCGACTCTAAGACTTGTGGACTTCAACCCCCAGAATTCCCCACTCCAATCTTGGGGTTGAAGTCCACATGTCTTAAACTTGCCCAGTTTGGAGACCCCATTTTGAAGGAATGAATGAGCCAATGAATGTTGTCAACTTGAAGGATGCCAAAGTATATATAGTGGTCTTCTTCATCTCCAGACTTGATATTGTTTCCATAGATATTTTGATTCTTTTAGTTTTCATTATTTTTCTCATGTTCATGTAAAGGACGCACAAATGTCCATTGCAAATTCCATTCCATGGCTTTATATACAGACAGTGTTGAACTGTGAATCCAGATGATATCTTTCCATATAGTTCTGATCATCCACACAAAGAAGATGGGATAACCTGGCAGATGATTTTGATATTTGATAGCTATGGCCTGGATTTAACTTACTGTGTTGCTATAAATCTATTGAACTAAGTATCTAATTTTATGTAACACATACTACCTCCTCTGCACTTATGAAATAATAGCAGAAATTTAGGCTACCCATTTCTGACACGTTAGAACAGGTTTATGTTGATTAGTTCCAGTCAAATGTAAAAGGAGTATCTGAAACTATCACTTAATATACCAAGTTGTGGCACTTTAATAATCAACACCATTTAGTAATATTTTATTATTATGGTATACAACATATTCTCAAATCTTATGCCTCCAAATTTGATCACAAATGGAATTTCAAGAAGCCAAATATTTATATATTTAGAAATAATATCAACTAACTAACAATCACTGTAATGAAAATAATTATCACTTTATTTTAAATTTTAGCCATTAATAAACCTAGCCTGATAATGTTTTTTTAAAATACCTGGTAATTGACATTGACAGTTGTTATTGATTAATTGGTAATATTTATGTTGTTATATTTGATATACAGATACTGTTTGATTTACAACCATAATTGGGATGAGAGTATCAACTGTTTAGCATAACAGTCATTAAGCAAAATGCAACGTGACTGCTTCGCTCAATGACTATAATCCTGGAACTCTCAGTTTTGGTCATTGTGATTTTCCAGATCATTAAGTGAAGTGAAAGAATTGCCTACTGAAAAAATTCAGCTCTGTGTCTCCCAACAATATTTGCGTATCCCTTGGTAAGGACTCAGTAGGTGGACAAAAATTCTAAATCTGTGTAATCACCCCAGAGGTGGTATTCAGCAAGTTCTTACCAGTTCTGGAGAACCAATAGTGGAAATTTTGAGTAGTTTGGAGAACCTGCTGAATACCACCTCTGACTGGCCCCACCCCATCTATTCTTTGCCTCCTGAGTCCCAGCTGATTGGCTGGATCTTCTTTTGTTGCCCTGCACAGGAGAATGGAGCTGTAAATCAGGTTACTAGGGTAGGGAGGGAATGGGGATTTTGCAGTAACCTTCCCCCAGGAGTGGGGTGGGAATGGAGATTTTACAGTATCCTTCCCCTGCCACATCCACCAAGCCACACCATGCCCACCAAGCCATCCCCACAGAACCAGTAGTAAAACATGTTTGAATCCCACCACTGGATCACCCATAATAAAACAAAATCAGTTCCTTTTCAGAGTTAAATTTTTGCATCTACAAATTAAAAAACAAGTCATAATTTGCTATAGCAACATTTTATCAAAGAAAAAAAACAGAGGTGCCTCGGGCACTTTATTTCAGCTGAACTATAAAAAATACATCTGAATTCTCATGTTACCTATACCATTATTTTCAGCTGACCTTTAAATAAAACTATACAGGATTTCTGTAACAGCTCCTTGGAAAATTTCAGTATATAGCTCAGTCAGTTAAAGATGCAGTCATGTGCACATTTATCTAGGAGTAACTCCACCTGAACTAAATGAGAATAGACATGTATAGAGTTATACTAAGAATATATGCAAGCTATGGTATGGCCCACATCTTTCATGACATCTTTATTTTTCACTTCTGTTGCAGTTTACCCTTGGAATGCAAACTTTATTAAGTTTGATAAAATGTATCTTGCCTGACTTATATATACTATATAAAATAAAATCCTTTCCTTATGACCATTTGACTTCAATTTAGCCTCATAATATATGCTGTATGAAGGGCACCTACAAGGCCTTACTGCTAACTTCACCCTTGACATGAACTTTCCTAACCTAATTCAAGCTTTATAAGTCTACCTGCATAATGGAATTATTAAGTAACAAAGATTTCAATTATTGCTTGACACAACGAGTATCTTGCATATGGCCAATTATTCGTCTATCAATATGTATAGGATAATGGATAAATTGCTAAAGTATGGGTATTGTTGCAAGTCACTTGGGATCTCTGACTAAGAGCAGACCAGGATAGAAATTCTGGGTATAGAAAATCAAATTGAATTGAATCCACTTTGGAATTAACTAGGGAACCAGCTGAATAGTATCTTAGTCAACCTGAATGCCTAATCATCCTCATGCTCTTACATCTTACATCACGGGTGTCAAACTTGATAGCATCATGTGACATCATGTGATATATCGTGATGTTTTTTGCCTTTGCAGAGTTGCACTGGGTGTGGCCTGCATATGATGCATCCGGCACACAGTCCATCAATTTGACAAACCTGTCTTACATTTTTCCCTTGGCAGTCCTAAAATCTGTCCTTGAAGTGTGGAAGAGTTGAATTGATGGCTCCTATACTTCTCTGTTCTTCAGTGGCTAAGATGCTGAGCTTGTCAATCAGAAAGGTCAGCAGTTCAGCAGTCCGAATCTCTAGCACTGCATAATGGAGTGACCTCCTGTTACTTGTCCCAGCTTCTGCCAACCTAGCAGTTCGAAAGCATGTAAAAATGCAAGTAGAAAAATAGGGAGCACTTTGGTGGGAAGGTAACAGCATTCCGTGCGCCTTTGGCATTTAGTCATGGTGGCCACATGACCACGGAGACATCTTTGGACAGCGCTGGCTCTTTGGCTTTGTAACAGAGATGAGCACCACCCACTAGAGCCAGAAATGACTAGCATATATGTGCGAGAGGAACCTTTACCTTATTCTTCTCTATGATGACTTTGACAAATATTTTTGAAACAGGTTGATAGCTACAGTTATTAATAATTTCCTGGGTAATCAGGTGAATACTGTGTTATCTTTTGTGTAACTTGTTTATTATACACATTACTTTTCTATAGTTATTGTAAAATTCACCTATTATTAATATGATATTAATTTTTCCTATTTTAATTAGCAATCTATAGATAGGCTGTATAAGTCATAAAGGCAGTTGGTTGGATTTTTTTAAAAAAGTGTTTCTGTGTTCCTCCCCTCTATAAATATAAACTGTTATGTTTTAGTTGTTATATTTTATTTGTCTGTCATTTATCACAATAGGGAAATAAACTGAAATTTAAAAATTAAAATATTAGGGCAATTTCTGTGTTAGCCACCAGCAAATGTATCATTTGGTTAAACATCATATTTAAAATGTCTTTGTCTTTTATTTTTCCCCCCCATTTATATCCCAAAGTGTTATTCTCTGTTATTATAGCTTCATTTTTATAGCTGCAAATAATGATTTTTCAGTTGTAACCCTACACTAATCAATGGATTAATATTTTGTTCATTGAATTGGGGCCAGTACTTTATAGACATTAAGGAACACAATACAAGTTCTGCATTGTACTAATAAGCTTACTAAAGGAGATAAAAGATAATTGATATAAGGCATTGCTATGTTCCAAGATCAGCTAAGGAAAAGAAATCAATTTGAGATTGAATTTGAGAATGAATTTGAAACTGCATGCTGTTACCTTACATTATGAAATACCTCATTTTCTAAGCCTTCTCAATATATTGGAATTATTTACTTAAATAGATGCAGAAGCGATTTGCAGTTTACTGATTCTTCAAATCGTATATCTCGATTAAGATAAGAAAGTGTCCTAATTCATGGCTTTTTCAACTAAATTCAAGCAGCTTGCTTAATAGAGTGTTTAGACATTAGAATATTTAGAATATGTTTACTTAAATATTAGAATATTTAAATTTAATTTAAATATTAAATTAAGCAAGCTCTATTAAGCAAGCTGCTTGAATTTAGTTGAAAAAGCCATGAATTAGGACACTGTTTCTTATCTCTGATAAGAAACGGATTCTTTATAATATTATTACTATTCTATTATTTTTAAAAATACTTAGAATATTTAGAATATTTTAAATGCTTTAAAGTAATTTTTTTTTTGAAATAATGAAATGTTTCCCTGTTTTTTCAAGTGATTTCTGGTTCTTTTTCTGTGGAGAGGGTAGATATTTTAAATATAATATGGAAATATGTCGTTTTGCTGCCTTGTTTTATTTTATCCTTTCTCCCCACATTGGAAGTAATAATTATCCTGCCAAGCAGCCTGTTTACACTGTATTTCTGATTGTGATTAATTAAGGGATTATGTTGGCTGATTTGGTTTCATTCTATTTAAAACAAGCAAACAAAAGATTATCTTTTCCATTAAGTGGTCATGCATATGGCATAAATACATATATTTTTGCACTGCTTTGGACAAGATTATAGCGGAATGAATATTTCATTACATGTATATCTGTGTTTTACAGCTGCACTCTAATTCCGACAAAGGTGATGGATCAGTCAAATACATTCTTACCGGTGAAGGGGCTGGGACTATCTTTATTATTGATGACACGACTGGAGACATCCATTCAACCAAAAGCCTAGATCGAGAAAAGAAAACACACTATGTGCTACACGCCCAAGCTATTGATAGATGGACAAACAAGCCACTTGAGCCTGAATCTGAGTTTATTATCAAAGTACAAGATATCAATGACAATGCACCCAAATTTACAGATGGACCATATATTGTTACTGTGCCAGAGATGTCTGATATGGGTAAGAAGAAGAATCAGAAATAGCACTGATATACTGTTGATTTGACATTTGGTGTGTGTGTGTGGGGGGGGGTTTCGTTTGTTTTCTTGAGACACTAGAGTGTGTGCCTTAGATTATTTTAGCTGTTTGTGTCACCAGTAAATTTGAAAAAAGCATGAGTAGCTCCTCTTCCTCTTCAATGACTTCACTAGAATTGCTGGGTGTTTTTTTCTGATAATGCTATAGTATTTTTTTTTTATAGCTGCATAATTACATTTAAGGAGGTAATTCTTTTCAGACCTCATCAGAGTGCTGGGAAATAGCATTACTCCGCCTTTAACTTTTAATATTTTCCTTAGACTGTGACATTTGATTGAAAAGGCACATAGGTTGCAGTCTGGCATTCTGACAAATCATCCATCAATAGACACATAGACATTAACAATATCTATAGTCTATGCAAAAGCGACAATCAGTGAGCCCAAAAGAGAACAAAAAGACTCCAATACCTTTCCACCAGTAATCAGCAACCAGGTCAGCATAGATTAACAGCAAGTTTAACTTCAGACCAACAATCAAGTGAACAATACCCCAATCAAGAAACTGCCAAACAGCCATCAGTAAACAGCCCAGCCAAAGAATCTCTAAGACCACCCCTACCATACAGACAAGCAAGTCACCAGAATATAAACTGACAGCAAATAGCAGTCCTTACTAGCACTGATGATGTTATCTAATTAGGGTAATAAAACATCTGCAAGAAAACAAGCAAGCTCAGAGAGCACCAAGGACACCTCATAGATGGCAGGGCTACAAAATCTTCTCTAACTTTTCAGAAAGAAGTTTCTGATTTGGAAAACTGATCAAGACCACCAGTTATTAGCAATGGTAATTTAAGTGACACCTGGAGGTTTACAAGTTGTCTAACCCTGAACTAGACTGATAATCTATCTTGGTACAAAATAGCTTCATGTTTTCAATCTACTATGCTGAAAGCTAGAGGTTGAAAAATGAAATCAGTACAAGGCTAATTCACATATGTTTATTTTTCCTGCTTCACACTTTGCTGCCAGCTGGGTGGGAAAGTGACACATTCTTTGGGGGCTCTTCAAAGAGCATAAAGAGAAATCCACAATTACATAGCTTATAAAAATAGTAACATCATTTCCAAATAAAAATATTTTCCAACCTGAAAACTATGATTTTAAATTAATAAATGGTGTTCATAAGGATGACTTATTAAATTGAATTCTTGGATTAGGGAGTAAACGTATTATTATGTGTCACATAGAGAAATAAAGTGATATCGCATCCATCCATCCATTTATTGGAAAATGGAAGGGGATTGATAGCATAAAAAAGGCAGGTATGAATGGAATGATCAAAGCCATGCCCCTTTTTAGATGCATGTGATATATGCAGCTCATATTGTGAATGCCACTTCAGTGCTTTGACCTACCCTTATTGATGTCCATGTCTTTTATCATGATTCTGTATAATTGCATTATAACTATCACTGTATTGGGAAAGAAAACTATGAAACAGGAGTTTTCAGGAGCAAAAAAGATGAATAGGGGTCTGGAAGCTAAAACATATGAAGAACTGTTGCAGGAATTAAGTATGTCTAGTTTAATGAAAAGAAGGACTAGGGGTGATACAATAACAGTCTTCCAATATCTAACTGGCTGCCACACAGAAGAGGGAGTCAACCTAACCTTCAAAGCAACTGAAGGCAGAACAAGAAGCAATGAATGGGAACTAATCAAGGAGAGAAGCAATCTAGAACTAAGGAGAAAATTCCTAATAGTTAGAACAATTAATCGATGGAACAACTTTATTTATTTATTTATTTCATTTGTCAATCGCTTACAAGATACAGGTATAAGTAAAAACATAATTATGAATACATGGATACATATAAGAAAAATTAAAAATAAATAAAAGAAACAATAGGACAGGGATGATAGGCATGTTGGTGCGCTTACGCATTGCCCCCTACAGACCTCTTAGGAAAGGGGTGAGGTCAATAGTAGACAGTCTAAGGTTAAAGTTTTTGGGATTTGGGGAAGAAACCAGAGTCAGGTAGAGTATTCCAGCCATTGACCACTCTGTTGCTAAAGTCGTATTTCCTGCAATCAAGTTTGGTGCGATTAACCTTGAGTTTGTATCTATTGTGTGCTCTTGTATTGTTATGATTGAAGCTGAAGTATTCATTTGCAGGTAGGTCATTGCAATGTATGATTTTATATACTATATTTAGATTGGACGAAAGGCGGCGTAGTTCTAAGTTTTCTAGGTCTAGAGTTTCAAGTCTGGTGGCATAAAGTATTCTGCAATGAGTAGAGGAGTGGAGAACTTTTCTTGTGAAATATTTCTGGACTTTCTCAATTGTGTTAATATCAGATACATGATATGTATCTGTATTCAAGTATAGGTCTAGCAAATGTTTTGTATGCTCTACCGTGTTTCTCACAAAATAAGGCCAGGCCTTATTTTTTTTGATCCCCGAAAAAATGGCTAGGCCGTCTTTTCGGGGGTGAGTTAATCCCCCCCCCTTGCATCCTCGGGTGGGTGGGCGGTGACAGCTTGGATGTCGACCTCAGCATTGGTGGGGCACTTCGTATCAGGAGACCTTCCGCCACCATTGCTTTCCCTTCTCCCTTGCTGCCATGGTGTTTAGAGCAACGCCGCGGCATTTGGCGCAGGCACGTGCGGCCAGCCAGGGCTCCTCCCTGCAACCGAAGCCCAGTGGAGACACTCGGCTTCAGGCGCTCCTGTCACCACCTTCCCTTTGCCTTTGAAGGTAAAGCCAATTCTTTTAAAAATGACCCCCTACGACAACAAAGCCTCCCCTGCCCGAGAGGGCAGCCCAACCCCACGTGGGGAGGTGAATCTCCCGGGGCCGCAGTGCACGATCAGACGGGCCCTCCTTCCTGGCAGTAGAGCTCTCACCAAGGCAGCGAGCGCCTCCCCACCAGACCCTCCGCTCATCCCGCAAGGGCCGTGCCAGAGCCGTGCAGGCTGGGCAGAGCCAGGAAAGCGAGCCGCGGGTGCGCGCCCACCTGCCAAGCAAAAGAGCTGGGCCGACCTGAGCTTGGCTTCCTTCCCAAGTCCCTCCAGTGCGAACCCGAAGGGGCCACCGGGAGAGGCTGCCCGAGGCAGTGATAGCGCCCACCCATCCGCAGACAGGGAGGCGAGGTGATGGCAGCGCTGCTTCCCTGGCCGGCGGAGAGAGCCTGAAGCTGCCCGTCCTTTCCACCCCTCGCCCAGCCCGTCCCCATCCCCACGTATCTCCAAATGCGCTGGCAGCTCCAAACGCTGCAGCGGAATGGGCATCAGGCAGAGGCGCTGACTCAGCAAGGCTGAGCTCGGAGGGGGATGTGGCGCAGGGAGGAGCCCTGGCTGGCCGCGCATGGCTGCGCCAAACGCCGCGGCGTTGCTCTAAACGCCGCAGCAGCACGGGGGGAAGGTAAAGCAATGGTGGTGGAAGGTCTCCCGATACGAAGTGCCCCACCAACGCAGGCAGCACCATATCCGGGTATGCAACAAAAGTGCTTCCTAACGGCAAGCCCCCCCTGCCATTTCCCCCCATTTCGCATGTTTAATATAGGCCTTAATTTGGGGGGAGAGGCTTAATTTGATTTTATGCTAATAAAACATGCTGGGCCTTCCTATTGGTGGAGGCCGTATTGTTGGAGAAACACGGTAGTTAGTAGTGTGATATTACCAGAGAAGAAGCTACGTAGGATTAGATTAACAACTCTTAATGCCTTTTTGGCATTGTTTCTTTTACTTGTTCTTCCTCTAATTGAAACTCTAGCAAATGTCCATAAAGTTTTTTTATTACTTTTTCATCAGTACCTGTCAAAATTTTATCTAAATCAGTCAACTTATCATAGATACCTTCTGTTTTAACATCTTTATCAAATCTAGATTGTATTTGCAAATATGAAAACCAATTCATTTTTACACCTTGTTCATCCAGCGCTTGCATAGATTTAAGTTCACCCTTTTCATTCAATATCTCACCGTATCTAACTGTTTGTTCCTTTTTATATATTATTGGATAGGAAAAAGCTTCAATAGTAGATAACCAAAGCGGAATTTTTAAATAATATTGCTTTTTTATCTTCTCTCAGTTTAGAAACAATGCTTCTCGAATATAATGTCTTCTAAAATACCCCTGCATTTTAGTTCCCTTATACCAGAGGAAGGCATGCCACCCTAACAGCAGGTCATGTCCTTCTAAATTCAAAAGTCTGGTATTCCTTAATGTTATCCACTCCTTTACCCATATCAGACTTGTCGCTTGGTAGTATAATTCCCAATTGGGCAAAGCAAATCCTCCTCTTATTCTTGCATCTTGTAACAATTTAAGTTTTATTCTCGCTTTCTTCCCCTGCCAAATGTATTTTAGCACTATTTTGTTTAAATCTTCAAAAAATTCTTTCCCTAATCTGCTTGGAATTGTCTGGAATAAGTATAAGATTCTGGGCAATACATTCATCTTAATTGTAGATATTCTCCCAATCAGTGATAATGGTAAATTTTCCCATTTTATCAAATCTGTCGCTATCTGTTGTTTAAGTTTGAGATAATTGTCCTCCTTAAGTGTGCTACATCTTGGTGTTATATGTATCCCTAAATAACCTTGTTTGTGACCTGGATTCCCAAAACTTCCTCCAATTCTTTCTTTTGTCTTACTAACATGTTCTTTGCTAAAATCTTTGTTTTATCTTTATTTATTTTCAAACCTGCTACTTTCCCATACTCTTCTATCTTTTCTATCAGTTTAGGGGCAGACTCCAATGGCTCCTCTAATATAAATACCAGGTCATCTGCAAAAGCTTGTAATTTATACTCTTCTTTTTAAATTTTCATTCCTTTCCTTTTCATTCCTTTTATTTCTTTTTCTTCTCTATTCAGCACTTCCAGTGTTAACACAAACAACAGAGGTGACAGTGGACAGCCTTGTCTGGTCCCTTTTCTTATATCTATAAAGTCTGTTAACTCTCCATTTA